TTACCTTTCGTTTGGTTATAATTTACTAAAAGTGTTTATCTAAGACAAATTGTCGAAATACAATATTGCATCTCTTAATCTGCACAGTTTATTAATTGGTGTTTAATTTAGTCCTGGAAACTTAGATATTATTTAAACCAAACATAAACAAGTTAAGGGTGGTTGCTTTGGTCCAAAGTCTTCACCTTATATTTGAATGTAAGAATTTGATATACGTGTTAAACAAATTAAGAGATCACTTACAACTCAGTGTCATATATTATAAACAAATAGACATAGAAATATGAAATTATATATACATACATACGTAGGCAGTTTACACTATTTTTTATGTACTAGCGGTTAGATAAGAGAGAGAAGATGCGTATATTCCTACTACAGCGTTATTAGCATTTCTATATATACAAGTAATAACTGTATCAGGCAGGCGGTAGCACTGCATATGTATGTATGGCTCGATTGTTCATCGAAATGGTATTTTAAATATTTCCTCAATAGGTCATCAGAACTTTACAATACTGTACACTGTTTCCTTTTATAGCAATATCTTTATAATGACTGAGTCACAAGTTCTGGGAATGTCTGTAAATATCATAGCAAAAATTTTGGATTTATTGTTCTTCTTTCTTCTACTTCTTTTTTATTACGTTATAACTCAAAAACCAAAAAAAAAATAATGGTGTCAACTACTTTTACCGAGGTGACACAGTTTCAAACGGAGTATCTGCTTTTATAGGTATTATCATTAACTAGTATTAATTAAAGAAATCTTAATTCTAATATAAACGATGTTATCATCACTCCCTTGAAGTAATCTCTCTTATAGAAAACTTGTGTTCCTTTAAAAAAGCTTAAGTATAGGGTGAAACAGGAATTACCAGCCAATAAGAGATAAACATTGGAACCTCATTGTATTTAAAACTTGGTTATAAATATAACCTTCCTATGTCTATTGAAACACTGCACTAAAAAAAGGAAACATGTAAAGAAAAACTTTTCAAAAAATGAAGTAAATGTAGGGATGGCTAACATCTTTCCTTCAAAAAACAATGCAAACAAAATAATAAATATTAATATATAGTATACTTACATAACTATCTAATCACAATTGAGTCTAATGTATTCTATTTTTGTCTGTTAACATTCTACTACGCTATGTACCTGTGCTATTATGTAGGGATGATGCAAATACCATCCCAACTATCTTGTTTGCATTCTTTTTGAAGGATTGATATTAGCCATCCCTACATTTACTTCCTTTTTTGAAAAGTTTTTTCTTCACTTGTTTGTTTTGTGCCTGACAGTCAGCTGCACTGACAAATGTACATATAGATAGAGGACAAACCTTTTGTCTTCAGTACAACTATTTCATGTTTATTTCCAACTGATACTTGTATAAAGTACTCCGTACGGGGAGTCAACCCTCGAATCTGAGCCCACGAGTCTTGGGTCTATGAGTAAAATAACAGATTTAAAATAGTAACACTAAATGCTTGTGTACATGTGAATAAGATTCAAAATATTCATAACAATCTACATATCTGTTTAGAGTAGAAACATACTTTTTACCAACTGCTTAAAATTGAATATGTTATCTTAATCTCTGATGTTTTTCGTAAGTTATAATTCATTTTAATTATATATTCGTATTCTAATCTTCTGTCACTTACTGATAATTCTTACCAGTATTTTTGGTTTTTGTTCTTCTTGAATGAGTTACGGTCGTTTGTATATTTGCTTGAAAGATAGGGTAAAGATGACTTATAGTGTAGCTATTTTTGTTGAATTTACTATTTTTATATGGATTTACCTCCACCGACATCCAGTTTGTAGCACCGATCCTTTCGTAACTCGTAGCGTACGTCACTGTTGCATTAGCAAACTCCGGCTTCCATTGGATAGTTATCGAGTCGGAGGTCACTTCTTGCGTTTGAATAAAAATATGTCCTGGGAAGAGAGGAACAAATTATATATTTAGCGTGAATTTCAACTTAGATCTGTAGGAAAGTGCCATTTTACTAAATCTGTTTGTAATGCTTTAAGAAAGGCCGTGAATAAACATATAAATATATAAACCAAAAAAGGAACCTTTGACTAAAGCTTTAACACCATCTTTTCATTATTATAAGATTTAGCTAAAAACATAAACTATTCTTGGCGTATACTTTACGTAAACAGAAAATAACTAAAAAACTGCATGGAATTACTACCAAAATTTCCTCGAAAATTCAAGCTCAAAGCTTATCTCGATCTTTATGTTTACTTTCTGTAATTTTCACCCAGAATTTGTTTGATTCTTTTAGTGTAAAGCCACTAGTAGTTGCGCTCTATCAATGACGGGTAATTAAACCCCGGATTCTGGCGATTAAGTCCGTAAACTTACCGATATCCTTCCGAAAGACTTTCAACTGCTATAAAATGTTCTCTTATCATTGCGTAAGTAAAACTTATTAGACAGCTAAAGGTTATAAACTCGACGCTGATTAACGATTAGACACTTTAAACACCATACTGACTAACGGCTAGAGATTACGAAATCCAAACTGACTAATATTTCGACACTCTAAACACCACATTGATTGACAGCTAGAACTTAAGAACTCCACACTGACTAATATTTAGACACTAAGCACCACAATGACTGACAGCTAGAGGTTGCAAGCTCCACAATGACTAATTTTAGACACCTAAACACCACATTGATTGACAGCTAGAACTTAAGAACTCCACATTGACTAATATTTAGACACTAAGCACCACAATGACTGACAGCTAGAGGTTGCAAGCTCCACAATGACTAATTTTAGACACCTAAACACCACATTAACTGAAAAATAAAGGATACGAACTTGCTAAATTGCTTCTATATATTCTATGATCGAGCATTAATACCGCTGATTTCCTTAACAAGTAAAACCTCAAATTTATGAACTCTTAATTCATTCAAAACCATGTCTATAAATGTTAGATCGATTGACTATAAAGACTGTGAATATTGCACAACGAATGTTTTGATCTCTACACTAATAAGCTAGTAGGCCTTGAAATCCATACTAATTAGCCGTCAGTGTTTATTATGAGCTTCAACTGTTGGATCACTAGTAGCTATGGACTTCACACCGATGTTTCGAACACCATATTAGTTGGCCACCAGAGGCTACGACCTTTCCATTGAATGGCCGCCAGATAATTTGCATTGTAACCTATGATTAACTGCTAGACGCTATTAGCTTCAAATTCGGAGTATTTCAAGAGAATATTTTTGAACCAAGTAACTATACTAAGAATAATTAATAACTTCATCCACTCGCTACTTTCAAAAATTAAGTAAATAGCAACTGTAAAACATCTTTACTTGTGAAACGACTAAATAAATTGTCATTTAGAGAGAGAGAGAGAGTGCATATTGAAGTGTTATGGTGAGTTTTTAAGATCGAAAACTATATACATTGCTTGTTTTCAATCACATAGGAAAAAGGTACACGTCTCTTCTTCTTTTAACTTTTTTGTTTCTTTTGATATGGTTTATATAAGCAGGAGTCAGTCCATCCAAACGCAGAGTAGAAATGATTATAAAAAATACAACACTTGATTAGAAAATTAGCCTTCAAGTTCTTGTCAGAGTTATTTAACGACCCTGGGGATGGATCGTGGAAAGATTCTGTGAATAGTTCAAAGTTAAAGGGCGCGTGTTAAGATATCTAACCATAAAACAGTTATACAGAGAAACCTTTATTTATAAGTTCCAAATGCATATTGTCTTAAGATACTGATATATTGTTCTGAAGGGGTTAAAATTATGGTCTTTATCAAAAGTAACAATTAATGAAAACATTCTATACATTGAAATAAACATGTCCACTTAAAACTAAAATTTATCTTGAATATATACACCAGGGCACGTATTACAAGATAATCGAACCATATAAGACAAGACCTAGTCCCAGCCCCACCCAAAACAAATGTTCTCCTATAACTACTCATACAGTAAAAATATTTCGTGCCCTGGAGGGAGGAATTGAAAGTTTGATATAAAAAAAACTGATTGCCTGAACAAGATGAAACTAGATAACCTCATTTTCGCTTTAGTAAGAAAATAGGTTGAATGGAGGTGTTTCAAGCCTACACTTTATCAATAACCTCTACACTCTGCTTTTTATCTTCGTCATTACCTTATTGACTCGTTTGTGTACAGATACGATCATAAGTTAAATATATCTTAGAAGTAGTATATGATCAATCTGTACAATAATTGTAACAGCCTCTAAACAAGTTTGTAACTATAAACTGATGAAACAAACGAGTGTTCTGCTGTTTGGTTCAACATAGAACCGTCGATATTAAAAAGCAATGGTTATATATCATTATGAAATTATGCATGATAGGAATTTTTTAATGGTTAAAGTCATTTTTGAGATTACGAGATTCGTATACATCTACGGATGTATTTTATAATAACTGATTTCATACACTTTTGGTACATAAAAAACGTTTTATCTATAACGTGAATACAATATAACATACTTTATTAGTACAGTACTATAAAATGTCTCCATTATCAAGCTTATTTAATTAAGCTACGTAATGTTTGTCTCTAAGGCTGCTAAAGTTAGATATTATCAGATACTGTTTGTCATCAAACATTCCTGACATAATAACGTATTTACTGTCTATCATTAAGCCTGCTTAAATGATGTAGTAATATCACTAAAGCTGCTAAAGTTATATAGTAATATCAGGTACTGTTATCATGCCTAATTGTATTATTTAATGAATCGTATATAGCTTCCATCATCAAAACTGACCGAGTTCTGTACTATCTGATGTATTGTATCTATCGTTAGACTTGGCTGTAATATATAACATCAGTTATTGTCTTCATCTTCAAAACCTAATCGAGTTACATATCTCGAGGAGTGCTCATATTAAGAAACTGAAACAGAATTCATCATCAAATCTGAATGAGTTATATGTTATACTTGATATGTTTTAATCATAAAGTGTAACTGTATGAATTATAGGGCAATGTTTATATCACGATCTTCATTGAGTTACGCAAAGAAACACATATTACTTCATAATAAACTGTAACTGTTTTATATGAATTATCGGACCGTGTCTTTATCATGATCTGGATTGAGTTGTGTAAAGAAACATGCAGTATCTTCATCATAAAGTGTAACTGTATTATATGAATTATCAGACAGTGTCTTTACCAAGTTGTGCTGGGATACAACTGGTTTTTCAAACAAGAATCTTTTACAATAAATCTAGCGCGCATTTGAAGCACGTTAATGATTTGGAAGATCAAGAGGAACCAGGAAAGAAAAATTCTCTCGCGATGTCATGAGAAAAAAGGGCGAAAATACGTTTATTCACCTGGTATTTAATACATTCGAGTTCATAGCAAAACATGATAAGACATGCAATGATATGAATGGTTTGGTAGGATATGCTAAGAAGTTAGTAAAGTTTCTTTGTTGTTGTTAAACGCAAAGTTACACAACGGGCTATATATGCTTTACAAAGCGAGTATCAGAATATGATTTATAATGCTATAAGCTCTAAGACTTAGTGCTGAGCATCTTAAGGATAAATGAAAAATATAAAGTATATTTTTTTAAGGACGTATTGGTCAACATCTCAGTAAATATACAGTCATGAGTTAAGAAATGTTTAAAATAACTTATAAGATGCATTATAAAATGTATTTATTTTAAAAGCACTTAATTAAGATATAACAAATGATTTCTTGACATAAAAAAATCATTCACCGCCAAAAAGACAGAAAAATCACAAGAAACCTGGTAACCCTAGCTGGTTCGGAAAGTAGACATGCAGGGGTTACTGGGTTATCGGGTTTGTTCTCGTTTCATGTTAACATAAGAGTATTGGTTGAACAAGTGCCTCTTCTTTTTTTGTTGTTGTTGATTCTTCGGTACTGAAGACAAAACAGCTTTCTTAGAATGTTACATCTATGAATCAGAGAGTTAATGGTTTGCGACCTGTTGCCACACACACACACACACACACATATACACAAAATCATTCTTCGCACTTTGTTGTTGTGGACGCGCTAGAAAAGTGTCAAATCCCTTTATGCAGTTAGATTGTGAGTTCTGTTGATTAGCTTCCTTCCCTCTAGTCAGTCTATCAGTTGAAAATTAGGGATAATTATGCACATATAGCTCTTTGTATAGTCTTGAATGAAAAGTTTCCATCAAAATCCTCATTGTGTGTAAATGTTCCATATTTTGTTGGGCTCCAAGACTTCCTAAAATGTCACTATAAATAAAATTCGCCTATCAAGGAACTTCGCATATTTTTTGAGAAAACTATTAAGTGTAATTCACGATGTTAGAGAAACACGTAGGTTTAAAACATAAATAAAAAAAAACTATAACCCGAATACTTTCGAAAGGTAGAGCTTTATGCCTCAGGGAAATTTCGAATAACTAAATTAAGTGTAAGAAAAGGTGGCGTGACGTCATGACTATGCAAAGTAGACTACCATAACAACCCAGTAGTGTGTCGAATAGCTTTCAAAGGAACGTTGCAGGTGCGACTCTTCTCCGCTGTACAATACGACAGGAATAAATTTGGAAAGAGAATGCTAGATATAAAGACGTTTGAAAGATCTTGTTTAAGGAAATTTACTTACAAGGTAAAATATACAACGTATTGATAAATAAAAATGAAGATTTGATATGAGCATCTATTAGTAAAAAAGTTAAAAAACAAAAATGGAAAATTATCACAATTAAATAAGTAATAAGAAATATTATTGGCAAAAATAAAGAACATAAAACACACATAACAACGAAAAAATATGTGTATTGTTGAGACAGGGAAATAATTAAGGGTTGAAGATCACTGATTCTTTAAAGTGGTAATCCAATAGATTTCTTTAACTCCTTTAGCAGCTTTAGTTTTGAAACCGGTTTCAA